TCTGAGGGCGCAAAAGCCATGCTTTCATTTATCAATTCGGGCTCAACTGATGGCATTCCGACGGGTGTTATGGTTCCCATACCTCAGTATCCATTATATTCGGCTACCATTTGTGAATTGGGAATGCATTTGATTTCATATTATTTGGACGAACAAAACGAATGGGCGCTTAATATCGACGAATTGAGCCGCGCTTACGAAGAATCCAAGAGTCACTGCAAACCCAAAGCGATTGTTGTGATAAACCCGGGAAACCCAACCGGTTCTGTACTCACCCGACATAATATTGAAGATATTATTCGTTTTGCAAAACAAAACAATTTAATAATAATTGCTGACGAAGTATATCAGCACAATATCTGGAAAAATGGGGCAAAGTTTTACTCATTTAAGAAAGTAATGCATGAATTAGGCATAAGACTTGAATTGGTGTCAATGATGAGCGCTTCCAAAGGTTTGTTATTACATTACATTTAATTGAATTAATGTATTTTTAATTGTAATTTGTAAATTAATGTCTTTACAAAATATAATGATAGGTTTTATGGGCGAATGCGGTCTTCGGGGCGGATATTTAGAGATCTCTAATTTTGATGCTCAGGTGAAGGCCATGTTCTTGAAGATGTTGAGCGCCCGACTCTGTTCATCCATTTTAGGCCAAATAGCGATGGATTGTGTGGTGAAACCGCCTGCCATTGGATCGCCTTCTTATGAGACGTTTATTAAAGAAAAGGAAGAAGTCTTAGAATCTCTACGATTGAGGGCTAAACTGACAGCCGATACGTTTAATTCGATACCAGGAATAGTGTCCAATCCAGTGGCCGGCGCTATGTATGCCTTTCCCAGAATTGTTTTGCCAGAAAAAGCTATTAAAGCGGCCGAAGAGAGGGGACAGAAAGCAGACTTTTTCTATGCGATGACTTTACTGGAAAAGGCGGGTATTTGTGTAGTGCCGGGCTCTGGCTTTGGCCAAATTCCTGGTACTTATCACTTCCGGACCACTATTTTGCCACAAATTGACAAATTGGAGAAAATGATGAAAAAGTTTCGAGAATTTCATTTGAGTTTTATTGAAGAATATAAATAACAGAAATATATTTTTTGAACAAAACTATATTAAAAAGTATAATAATTTTAAGTATAATAAAAGTAATGCCATTTTGTGATGAATTTAATTTCAAATATATTTTTGTTTACATTTTAGTAAAATTATTTAAATATAAAATATACTAGATTTAGTATACTATCAGTAAATTATCAGTTTAATGATAATTAAATCTGAATACTTGTAACTTAAAATAGTGACAAATTGTTGTTAATTTATAATATGCTGTATTAGATGCGAGATACACTAATTTCAAAATAAAGTTTACATGTTCAATAGATTTTAGTTTTCCAAATTTAAAAAATTAATTTTAAATTACATGAAAATAGTTTGATTTCTTTTAAAAGATTAGTTTCTCTAACTACTTCACGAAAGCATCGACTTTCATGGTATTTCAAACTACAATTTGCACTATTTTTAGTCATTGCATAATTGGCATCATTTTGGCAACGAATGAAATAAGATACATAAATGAAAATAAGCATACAATAAGAACATAAATGACCTAGATCATGAATAATGATGGTAAATGCAACGATTGTGAGGGCAAGGGTTGTCCCGGTTATGCATAAACCGGTTTGTGTTGTGACAGACAGTGAGTCATAGAGTAGTGAATGAGACACACGTTTGAGTGTTTCAGTGCTTACAGTGTTTGCAATCGTTTGACAACAAACACAACAAACACACAAACCATGCATTCAATCACCAAATCGTGCGATACTTTCGTTGTGTTACCGCCGATGACGGCCAACAATCTGACCGTTTTTGGCAAGAATTCCGACAGACCTAATGGTGAGGTCCAGGAGATTGTCTTTTATCCGTCACAAACACATGCAATTGAGTCCAAAACAGAGGTATGCCTTGTATTGAGTGACATGTCATTAAAAGCAGCGATGCGTTCAATGGTATGATTTGTCTTCCCTCTTGAGTGCACTTACATATCAATTGAATCGACACCACAAACACATGCAGTCATCTTAAGTAAGCCGTCGTGGATGTGGGGCTCAGAGATGGGCGCCAATGAGTTTGGTGTCTGTGTTGGCAACGAAGCCGTTTGGACACAACTCAATGGACCCAATGATGTGGACGAACGACTTCTGGGCATGGATTTGGTCCGATTGGCACTCGAAAGAGCTCAGACCGCTCGACAGGCTCTCGATGTGATGACCGCTTTGTTGGAGAAGTACGGACAGGGAGGCACCTGTTCCGACACCTCCTCCTTCACGTATCACAACGGCTTTCTTATAGCCGATCCAAACGAGGCCTTCGTTCTCGAGACGGCTGACAGACAATGGGCTGCAGAACGGGTGGAGACGGGCTTCAGGAATATATCCAATTGTCTTAGCATTGGAACCAAAATTGATTTCATGAGCAAAGACTTGAAACAAGTGGCCATTGATAAGGGCCTCTGGGATGGCGTCCAAGAGTTTAACTTCGCTAAAGTCTACGGCACTGGAAGTGCTGACAACCAAAGATTTATTGCTGGAAAAGAGTTACTACAGAACTATTCCAAAGGTTAGACCAATCGATAGTCTAAACAATGTTTAATTAATTGTGATCTAATCTATAGACAACGCGTTTGATATAAATTCAATGATTGCAATCCTGAGGGACGAGTCGAGTGGTATTTGCCGCTCATGTGATGACGCTTTCCCCTCGACATCGAGTCAAGTGAGTTGTCATCAATACATGTCATGTTTGCACCAAATTGTTGAACATTTGAAAATCTATGAAAAGGTTTCGGTTCTATCGAAGACTGAATCGCGTCCGTCCTGTCACTGGTTTACGGGAACCCCAGACCCGAAGCATTCGGTGTTCAAACCATTTGTGTTTTGCCCCAACTTTGAGATGAGTCCAAACATTGTTTCGCCGGCAATACCTGACGATCCCGTGAAGACTATCCCTCGCTTCCAACGACAAGTTGATAGAAGACATACTCTCTATAAAATGCATGAAAACTTTTACCCAAAACTGATTCAAACCAATAATGAGGGACAGGAATTGCGTCAAACACTCAGCCGTTTGGAAAGCGATTGTATTGAAGAAGTGGAGCGAATGCTTAATCAGTTCGACCCAAACGACCAATCATTTAATGTTAAGGACCTGTTTAACGATTGTGTCGAATCTGAACTCAGATTTTATAAATGAACGGTTGACTAAAATATCATTTTTTAATTGCAAAATATTTTATTTCATTATCAAAATTACAATTTTATTATTTATTACAATTAAACTTTCAAATCACTATAAAAATTATATAAATTTACTTTCAATATATCTCTTGATTATATATGGGTTTTGACAAAACGTGAATTTTAAAATAGTTTTAATATGTATTAAATATATTCTTGTATTGTATTCACACGTAAAACTTTAATATCTTTGTGATTATTATACAATCGACTGAATTGTGAAACACATTTAAATTTCATCGAATCATTAGAAGCCTAAGTTTGAATCAAAGTCTAATTCTTATGCAGTATTTAATGCAATGTTTATCACATTGTCGTCAAATAAAAGTTAAGTTTATTTACAGAAGCTTTCAGTGATATTTCGATAAAATTTATTTATGTTTATATTTACTTGGGTTTGACTTCAAGTGATGTTCCATTAAACTGTTTAAACTGTTTAATAAAGTTAACAATATTATGATATGAAGTATAATGGAGTGACTTTTCTATATATTCTTAACTCAAAATGTGATTTTTAAAAATGTTTTTTACAATAAAAGTAAATTATCATAAGTTATTGTATTCACATATACAACCAAATTAAATTTAAACAATGTATGACAAATGAATGGTTCATTATTTGCAACAATTTGTGAAAAATACATCTCAAATGCAGTTAACTCTAAATGATATTACTTTAGAGTAAATATAGGAAAATAAGTTCATTTATATGATTATAAGATTCCTAACATTTAAAGAATATAATACGAAAATTATAAATGGTTTTCATATAATATACTAATAATAATAAATTGGTTTTGTGTGACACGAAGAGTCGGCCAATTGATCGCATGACTGATCACTCTTTCATTTGATGA